ACACTGTGATCAGTTACTTCTGTAAGTACCAAATTAACTAATTAACTTAGAGGAAATTACACCCCCACAGAACCCATCTTATTATTTTATAGGGGCTTAATGATCTCTGTTCATTTATTTCATATGTTGTTGAGTGAAGTCCATAACGTAACCTATTCACAATTGCCATCCATCAAATTAAAAGTGTGTGCCATGTTATAAATCAACCCATGCTAGAGGTTTAGTGTTTGTGAGTAAGTTTTATGTGAAAGTGTATACATATCTTAGCCTCTTAGGGTATGTTTAATAAACATGTGTTGTAGGTCCAAAAAGTTCCATAAACCTAAAGCAAATGAGATTCATTAGATTTAAAAAAACCCGAGTTGTAGGTAAATTTTTCATAAGTTCAGCAGATTTAATAAACCCGAGATGGTTGTAATTTAACACCATAATTCTTGAACACAAATTAATGGAAGAGAAAAGTATTCCATATTCAAACATCAATATTGCTTGTTTGTGTTCGATTTGTAATACATTGACAAATTTATTCAATTTCCTAATATAGAACAAGCTAGAAGAAATTTTGAACAAAACAAAAAAGAAAAGGCACCATTTCTACAACATGGTGACGAACGAAAGATGTTCATTCACAAACAAGCAAGAACTAAGATGTCTAGGAAAAATCTTTGTGAACATCGAGCACATGAGCAGTGCCAACTTTATGATAATTGTGGACATATGTATATATATCCAACTTTTATAGCATTTCTATCTTTTGAATAATTAGTGGTTGTGTTGATGCACAAAATCTGGTGGATCTTGGACCAACGTAAATCCGATTGTGAATCACACAAACACACAAGAACACAAAGATGTATCGTGGTTCACCCCAATATTTGGACTACGTCCACACTGATGTTGATTCCATTTCACTATATGAATGTATGGATTACAATAGATCGGCAAGGGAGCTCTATGTAGATGCAGCCCTTGCCATTTTGCCCTCTGTTTGGCTGAAAGGGTATTGCCCTCTATTGTTGTGAGGGATGTGAGATTCTCTTTTTTTCTCCCCTAGTGAAGGTGAGGATGATCCCTTTTATAGAGTAAGGGTTTCCTCATCTTACATGGGTTATAAGCTCAGTAATGAGGCCCCAAAACGAGGCCCAATATATGGTACCAACAGGAGTCCCCCAAGTCTTCAGTCAAGAGAGTTTTTTTACTGGAGACTTCAAATATAATCCATGTACGAGCCGAAATGATTGGATGTCGTCCAGAACTGGTACTTGACATAAGACGGTGTTTAACGTCAAGCAATACTCAGCTAGAGGTAGTACACGTTGCGAGGCTGCTCGGCTAGAGGCGATGCTCTCGGCCAGGCGGTTGCTCGGCTGGAGGCGGTGCTCGTTGCGAGGCGACTCGGCTTGTTGCGTTCCTCGTTGCGAGTATGCACTCGACGTCGGTGTGCGCTCATTATGAGTTTATTCTTGACATGACTCGAGTCCGCTTGTCGGGTTCATTAACGTGTGCTCATTATGTGCCATTTTGAGATCTGTTTGGCTGAGAGGGTATTGCCCTCTATTGTTGTGAGGGATGTGAGACTCTCTTCTTTTCTCCCCTAGTGAAGGTGAGGAGGATCCCTTTTATAGAGTAAGAGTTTCCTCCTCTTACATGGGTTATGGGCTTAATAATGAGGCCCAAAGACGAGGCCTAATATATGGTACCAACAGGAGTCCCCCAAGTCTTCAGTCAAGAGAGTCTTTTGACTGGAGACTTCAAATCCAATCCATGTACGGGCCGAAGTGACTAGATATCGTCCAAAACTGGTACTTGACATAAGATGGTGTTTAACGTCAAGCAATATTCAATTAAAGGTAGCACACGTTGCGAGGCTGCTCGGCTAGAGGCGATGCTCTCGGCCAGACGGTTGCTCGGTTGGAGGCGGTACTTGTTGCGAGGCGGCTCAGCTTGTGGCGTTCCTCGTTGCGAGTATGCACTCGATGTCAGCATGCGCTCATTATGAGTTGATTCTTAACATGACTCGGGGCCGCTTGTCGAGTTCGCATATTGGGTCTATGTGTCGGATCTTCGGATCGGGTCTTTGAGTCGGGGCCATACGTAGGGTCATCGAGTCGGGGCCATCTGTAGGGTCTTTGAGTTGGGTCCGTGAGTCGAGGTTCGAGCTCAAGGGTGTCCAGGCACATAGGTGTCCAAATAAGCGAGTATCCCAGCAAGTGGGTGTCCGGTCAGATAAGAGATCACCATTCGTACTAAATCTTTGTCACCATAAGCATGTGGCTCAGTGATCTGTAGACATCAATAGTGTCGATAGACTTCTTTAATCAACAACAATGTTGATCAACAAAGTCCGTGTCATGAACCACCAAAGTTATGTCACTGTAACATTCAAATAATAAAAGGTGTAATTTGGTCAGACTTGCCACATGTTATGGAAAATAGTCATGTGATAAATCATTAATAATAATGTAAAACATATTATTATAACATGTCACCCCGTTCGTTTAGGTAGAAATGCAATTTATATGATAGTAAAATAATGATAGTAGTAATGATGTGTATGCGTCGTGACCCGGCATGATAAGCACACAGCAGTAGTAGAAAAGCAGATATTGTGAGGTGCCGCACTATCAGATCATATATATATATATATATATATATATATATATATATATATATATATATTCTGAGGTGCCGCACTATATGCACACAGATCATGAAAACAAATAATATATTGCTAACTGTGTACTAAAATATAAGTGTGATAGAAATGATGTGGTCTCCTCAAAGAATATGCATATTGTAAAGCGTTCACCAACACAAAATAATAATAAACTATTAAATAATAAACTAGTTCATGGATGATTAAATAATAAACTATTAAATAATACTGTGGTCTCGTCAAGCTACTGCTATTGCACAAGCAGTGGAGCGTGATGACATCCATGAAAGAAATGATGTGGTCTCTAATATGCATACTTTAAAGCGTCCACCAACACAAAATAATAATAAACTATTAAATAATAAACTAGTTAATGAATGATTAAAGCTGGCATGATTAAAGAATATAGATTTCTTATCTTCTTCACAGTTGTCTTGTGGGTTTTTTCAGAAAGTGGGCATGGTGGGAACATGCACTCCTCTTCATGATGAAAGTCTTATCTTTTTCAGAAGTTGGTGGGCATCTTCTCAATGCTCTCCCCAAGATCCCCACCACTGAAAGAAACCATCTCATGCAAGGCTAGTGACTCTTGTGTGAGATATGTCAATTCTAACTTATCCACCAAACTTCTTAGGATAGCTGGATCTGTTGCTGCCTCATTTTTACATGAAAATCGAGAGGTTGTGATCACTGTCGGTTGCTATCGTAATCGACGACCTTGGAATCCGCGAGCCAGCTGGAGTGTTGAACTATGGACCGTCCGATCGAGTTAATCCACTCCTCATTCTCCTTCTGTATTGCATCAGCTGCAGCCTCAAGGTCTAATCTCTCACGAGCACGAACTGCTTCTGACATATGACTAGCTCCACCAGACTCGGTAGATCGAAGTCCTCCTTGGTATTTTTCCTTGAGAAACCACTCAAAATTTTCTTGCTTTGCAGGATCATCGTTGAAGGGTTTTGCAACTTCTAGCATCTCAACAGCATAACCGGGAGATCGCCCTTCTTTCCAAACCCATCAAAATCCTCTCGATTAGATAACTCCGACCCATATTGGTCCAGCGACCTTCGTAACCAATAGCGATAAGTGGCGACTAACGACAAGGCGACCAATGCGATGATTAAATTGCACATAACTATGATGGTGATACTGATTCCAGTCGGCCTCTTCTTCTTCTTGCTCTGAAGTAACAGCACCTGCAGCTTTATCCGCGCCATGAGGTTCGAACTTTAACTCTAATCACGAAATCTTTGGGGGGTTGGTTGGATTAGGTCGTAGTGAGGTTCAAGTGTTTGAATCGGATAGAGAGAGATTATAGTTAGGTGGGCGATTTTAAGTAACCGATCTGGTTATAGGATTTTGCAGATTCACGGTGGTGGGATGAAAAAAATGAAAGAGAACCGACATAGTTTTTCGTGTCGTTTCCCACAGACGGCGCCAAATGTTGATGCACAAAATCTGGTGGATCTTGGACCAACATAGATCCGACTGCGAATCACACAAACGCACAAGAACACAAAGATGTATCGTGGTTCACCCCAATGTTTGGGCTACGTCCACACTGATGTTGATTACATTTCACTGTATGAATGTATGGATTACAATAGATCGGCAATGGAGCTCTCTGTGGATGCAGCCCTTGCCATTTTGCTCTCTGTTTGGCTGAGAGGGTATTGCCCTCTATTGTTGTGAGGGATGTGAGACTCTCTTCTTTTCTCCCTTAGTGAAGGTGAGGAGGATCCCTTTTAAGAGTAAAGGTTTCCTCCTTTTACATGGGTTATAGGCTCAGTAATGAGGTTCAAAGACGAGGCCCGATATATGGTACCAACATGTTGAACACTACAACTTATGTCATAATCTAACTTTCATAGTATTTGTATCTTTTGAACAATGCAATCTTTTGGTAAGTATAAAATTATACAGGCCATTTAAGGAGAGATCGTTTTTTTATTTTTTATTTTGTAAGAAATGGGGATTAGTAGTGGGACCCATCCAACATCAAAACCTCAATGATCCAAAACCGTTTATTTTGTAAATCTCAATTTTTCATATCATTTATGCAAAAATTCAATTTCATCTGAAACCATGTGCCAATTTAGTAACATGATGAAATTTCAAGTTTCTTTAAACATAGTGTTTATCAATTTTTTTGAACTCAATTAGATGTCTCAAATATTTATGATTTGACTAATATTTTGTAAGGATGATCTATGAGGTGCAACTTAAAAAATAGACGATTTGAATCATTGAAGTTCGATTTGGTGTTAACCCATAACTAATCTTTATTTTATAAAAAAATAGAAGTCTCTTCCCTTAAAAACTGTAAAATTATATATACATCTCTCTCTCTCTCTCTCTCTCTCTCTCTCTCTCTCTCTCTCTCTCTCTCTCTCTCTCTCTCTCTCTCTCTCTATGTATATATTTTCAAAACATTTTTAAACTCCAGCGACATCGCACACAGCCACTTTTGCAACTATTTCTTTGATATCCCATTTTACCATCGATTAAATTGTTAAAAAGAATTGTAATCTTCTCGTATTGTATCGATATATATAATATATTCAATTAAAGATTTTTGGGTTTGAATTAAAAATTGAAGTTCTTAGGTTCAAAACTCGTTGTTAGAGTAGAAGCCAGACTTGTAGCCAGGAAAAGACTGAAATGCCTCTGTAAGTCTTCCCGGCCCCGAAATGGATGGATAACCGTGGCTTGCCACCAATTGTCTCCCCTTAAAAAAAAAAAAAATTAAAGATCTTTAGAAATAGATTAAGATTTATTTTTAGCTATCTGCACTAGAACTCCATTTTAGTCTTACTTTGCTCTCTGTAACTTATAAGTCGTCATTTTATCATCTAAAACTCCAAATTTGCTTCACTTTGCCCCTAGAACTCAATTTTGATTCCATTTTGACCCTTAAAACTTGAAAGTCGTCCCTCTAAAACTCAAAATTAGTTTCTCATTGCCTTAAATCTGTTAATTTCTTATTTGGTTTAATTTTGGGTGCAAGCTAATCAATTTTTTTTTTCAATATCTTTTATTTTTTTTAAACTTAATAATCTCTTATTGTTGAATGTTGACGCATAGTAGAGATTTATAGTCAACTTTATTGCACATGTGACGTTTTCTTATTGAGTGTTGGGTTCTACATGTGTTTTTCGAGGTGACCTATAAGTTTCAGGTAGAAAAGAGAGCCCACAAATCAAATGAAACGAATTTAGAGTTTTATTGAGTAAATTGGTGACTTTTGTGGTAGAATAAAGTGAGATTAACATGGAGTTCCAAACAGGCTAAAAATAAGCCATAGATTAATTATCAATAATGATAAAAGGTTTCATATAATTCCAATCATATCATATAAATATAAACGGAACTCCATTTTATTGATATCATAATATGCAGCATATTCAACATAGTACCATTATGGACGGACACATGATCCTCCCCAGATCCTCTCCAGCTGAGCTGGTCTGGTGCGGTGATCTTAAACATGATTAGTAAACTAATTAACTATAAAACATGATCAGCATATATATATATATATATATATATATATATATAAGTACACTAGAAGTTCTTGGTCGAAACCATTAGCACTTAGCAGCGACCACCTGGTCCACCTCCACCCCCGTGTCCGCCGTGATGTCCTGGCCCTCCTGGACCGCCTCCTCCCTGACCACCGCCGCCTCCTGGACCGCCTCCTCCCTGACCACCCGCCTCCCTGACCACCTCCCTGACCACCGCCTCCCTGACCACCTCCCTGACCACCGCCTCCCTGACCACCGCCTCCTCCTTGTCCTCCAGGACCGCCGCCTCCTTGTCCTCCAGGACCGCCGCCTCCTTGTCCTCCAGGACCGCCGCCTCCTTGTCCTCCCGGACCGCCGCCACCTCCTCCCGGACCGTGCATCTTCTTGATCTTGTTAATTTGCTGTAGTTACACAGAGACTTGTAATGCTTAGCTAGCTACTCTCTTCTTTTTGAGTTTGGTGTGGCAAATGGTTGAAGAAAATAGTGCAGTTTTATAGTGCAATGATGTCGGTACAAAAAACAAAAGATCAACGTTCATCGTGAAGGTGCCGCATGAAAAAAAAAAGATCTTTCAAATTATATGAAATTTTATCTATCTAAAAATGAAAAGGACAGAAAAAGATTGTATGTAACGAACTATTATTTTACTGTGAAGGAAATAAGTGTTGGCGTGCGTCAACTTTGAGATTAAGGAATATAGATATATTTTGGGTATGAAATCATGTAATGGATATCCTTGTATAGTTGGGATTCCTATTTTCTATGTCATAAGAACTTGTATAACTATATATCACCCCTACGTGAGAAGAATAAAGCAGAACACTTTAAACCCTATAATTACAATTTTATCTTGGTATCAAAGCCAAGATTTTTGCCTGTGCAAGCCAATGAGCTTGTCACCAAGAAGGAAACAAACAAGTCAGGACTCTTAATAGAGAACCGGCCTCTGAGTTCCATTGAAAACAAGTCTGAACTCTTAACATATAGCCAACCTCTGAGTTTCAATTGCCGATGTGTGGATCTCCACATGTAAACCACTAAATGAGGTTACACGTGAAGGGGAGTGTTGGAATCCCACATGCAAAAGAAAATAATGGGTTTAAATATTATTACCCTATTCTAACTAGTACCGAGACCTTTTGTGGTAAAATTCCACACTTGACAAATTAGGCAAGTGGTAAAGTTGGAGACAATATTGATGTCGTTAGAGTGGGAGCCCCCTAGGCCCGTCGATCTAAAAAATTTCAACATGGTATCTGAAAGGTGCACCTGAAAAATGGTTGATTTTCAGGAAACATGGGCATATGCAGATAAAGGATATACAGATGCTGATTGGGGTGGGAATATTACTAATAGATGTTCTACGTCATGCTACTTCACTTTTGTAGCAGGAAATCTTGTAATTAACTTGGAGAAGCAAAAAACAAAACGTGGTAGCTAGGTCCATGACAAAGGCAGAGTATTGGGGTATGGCGCATGGGATTTGCGAATTATTGTAGTTGAGGATTCTTCTCACAAAAATAGGATTCAAATCATAAGGAGATATGTCATTGTACTGCGATAATCAAGCTGCAAGTGAGATAGCTAATAATCCGGTGCAACATGATCGCACAAAACATGTTGAAGTGGATAGACATTTTATCAAGGAGAAGTTAGATATCAGATTGATTGACATTCCATATGTGAGGTTTGAATAACAGTTAGCCAATGTACTGACTCATGTAGTATCAGCGAGAGTGTTTTGAGACTCACTTGACAAGTTGGGCCTATGAGATATCTACACACCAACTTGAAGGAAAATGTTGGCGTGAGTCAACTTTGAGATTAAGGAATATAGATATATTTTGGGTATGAAATCATGTAATGGATATCCCTGTATAATTGGGATTCCTATTTCCTATGTCATAGGAACTTGTATAACTATATATCACCCTATATGTGAGAAGATTAAAGCATAATACTTTAAACCCTAGAATTACAATTTTATCTAGAAGTTATTTTATATAAGAATGGTAGTGGTAGGCTAGTTGGTATAGGAGCCTAGGATCGATTTTGTGCGGTCATGCTTCTGCACAGTGTTCTAAAAATCACCTTAGGCGGCTGCCTAGTCGGCGCCTAGACGTTCGACGGTGGTCTTTCGATGCGATTTGGGGGAAATCGTTACAAGGTTCTAAAAACTAAGCAATTTCTCGATGCATTAGGCTGATGGATCGTGGCTATTTGAAAACTAAGCAATCATATGATAAATTGATTAATCGAAACATTTGTACTTATATGGTAATGGGCGTATATAATTGATGCATATATGATCATGAGAAATGATAGAAAGCTAGGTAGGTACAGGCATGGAGTTGCTTTTGAAGAGGTAAAACGTGTCCACCATCTTCACCGACTGCTTGTCACTGCCATAGTTGTTTTACTGGTAGGTGAATCCTACAATTCAACTGGATTTCTCTGCCGACCTCGATCAAATATTCACATATACTCCTGCAGTGCTGTCATTTTTCTTTTGATAGTGCTTGTATCCCTTATAGGACAACTTACTCGCTATTTCACTTACGATTAACAAATCTATTATCTGAATATCATAATCGAAATCATTCATTCTCTTTATAATCATCTAAAGACCATCTATGCAAAAAATTATTCAATTTGGAGATCTTTTAGTCATTCATATGCACAAAACAAAGGTTCATTATGAGGATGTTACTTGTTACCAAAATCGTTGATTGGTTTAACACGTATGGATGACTAAACGATCTCTAAATTGAATATTTTTTTATGATATGATCTTAGATGATGATAAACTGATAAAGAGGACGAACGGTTTCGATTATGATGTTCGAACAGTAAAGATCCGTTAATCGTAAGTGGGGGAACACAAACATTATTCTTTTTCTTTTACTGCAATTTATAATTAAATAGAGATTATCATACGTCTTGACACATCTAAAAATATCCATATTTTGGGTAAGATCATAAAACGTATATTGGTTTTGTGTGTCTGAAATATGGAGTAGAATTATCTCCCTTCCTATTCTCATCCCATTTCCTCTCCTTCTCTCACATATTACTTTTTGTCTTATTGTCTCTATAAAAGAAATCAATATAAAATGTTGATGTGGCTAAATCGTAACCGTTCAAATATGAGAGGAGGGAAGGGGAGAAAGATTAGGAGGGGAGAGAATTCTCATTCTTGAAATATACCAATCACCACTACATATTTCATGCCTTAAGGTATCATTTGGTATGCAGACGGGATGAGACAGGACGGGACGGAACGAAGAGGGAGCAAAGATGCCCTCGGATGGAATTAAGGAGGAAGAAGAAGGAGGCGAAGAAGTTATAATTTTGTGTTTCATAGATGTGGAACGAGTCATTCCAGGAGGTGAGGCAGAACGAAAATTCACCCAAAATTTGTCCCATGGAACAACGCGTTCCACCTGGTTTAGACTCACCAAACATGGGACGGAACGCCTCGTCCCACTCCGTTCCGTCCTGTCCCACGTACCAAATGGTACCTAATTGCACTCGTACATAGACCAAACACGTGCCCCTTATCACTCTCAGAATTTATAATATGCTTCAATTATTCTTGTCCACATTCCACGACTCGTTACGTTTGTAGATGTTAAACTGCAGCTTTGTTCTATCAGGACCGTCTTTGAGATTTCAGGAGTTCTGTACAAAATTTATAAAATGGTCGATTTTTAAGATAGTTTTTTATTTTTTTTAAAGTAGGACAATATATTAGTACTAGAAAATAATAACTTAAATCAAAACAACATTTAGGACTCATTGATTGTAAGTTTACAAATGTCATTAAATAAGTAAAAAGAGTTACAAACATAACCTTCACTAAATAATAAAAAACAGTTTAATCTTAAGCAACCAAATAAAGAAAAAAAAAAGCTTCAAAAATTCTAAATTTAAAGTTTAACTTGAATATATAGCATTATTATATAATAAAATTGGAAAGAAAATTGTTTTTTAAGGTGTTGTTATTGGCACTCTTACTATCTCATTGTGCACTTCAAATTTTTATATTTACAAAGAAGAAAATTTACTTATAAAAAGTACACTATATGATTTTAAAGTACTAATAAAAGTACATTTTTAATATATAACAATATTACATAAAAATATAAGATACCAACAATTTTTGGGGCCCTTCAAATTTGGGGCCCTATGCAATTGCACATTTCGCTCACCCTCAACGCTGCCTTAGCGTTCTATTCTTGCACATTTGGGCCGAACCTCGATGATCCAGGCCCATAAAATTGACCAGTCTGTCAAGCCTGGTAACCACTGTTGGCGGATTTACAATCTCCCAGGCTCAATTATTTCAGGTTGGGTTTAGGCCCATTTTTTCCAACGAGCCCACATCCAACTTTTCATGATATAAATTATAATTTCAAAAATAAAAAATAAAAAATCTACACCACCTTTATACCAATTTAGTGACAAAACATTTTACTCACTCCATTGATCACCGTTGAAATGCAAAGAATAAATTGTAGCAATGGTTCATCAACTTTAATCAAATTTGAGTATTGGTCTGTTAACTAAAAATCTATTACCATTGATCCCTCAACTTATCAAAATGTGTAGCTATGGTCATTTTATTCAAATTCGTTAGAATTTTGTCAAAATAAATTATATTGAAATGATCATTGCTATAATTGGGGTCCCTCAACTCATCAAAACATATAGATATGATATTTTGTTATCAATTTCGTCATAATTTTGTCAAAATAAGTTATGTTGGAAGAATCATTGCTACAGTTAGGTTAAAATTGAGGAATCATTGCTACAGTTAGGTTAAAATTGAGGGATCATTTCTCTAGTTGGATTAAAGTTGAGAGATTAATGACAATTGATTCTTAGTTGATGGACTATAGTTACACGTTTTGATGAGTTGAGAGACCAATTATAATAAATTTTTAATTAAAAGACCATTCATTTAATTGAGTTAAAATTAAAAAATCATTACTGCAATTTACTCAAATGCAAAATAAGACTTCTAAGTGTCTATAACAACTATTTTATTTTATTCAGTGTTGTTGCAAAAATATCACCTTTGATATTGCAGTCGGGAATAACCAGAATGTTTCACCCAAAAAATAATGTTAAATATATGACTCACAGGAAGTCCACAATGGACTTGGATCCTCTCCTGAGCCCAAGGAGAGCATCCTCCTGATCAAAGGACTTGGACCGTTGGATGAAAATCTAACGGTTACAAACAGAAAATCTCTTTAAAGTTATAATAATTATAACCGTTGGATTTTCATCCAACGGTCTAAGTTCTTTAGTCAGGAGGATCCCCTCCTTGGGCTCAGGAGAGGATCCAAGTCCGTCCACAAAAATAATTGAATTTGAAACACAAGGAAGAAAGAGCTCTCTTTCTCTCTCCTTTCTCTGTCAGCTGGTTTGCTTCAATTATCATCGTTCATCACGAACTCAGCTCCCTCTCTCTCTCTCTCTTTCTTTCTCAAATGGGTTCGAGCAGCAGTCGACTGGGCTCGCGCCCATCTCGGCCCCGAGTCAATCGCACCGCTAGTCGTTCCATACTCTCCTCTTTCGTCTGCGGTGGCTCCTCCGCAGGTGCTACTCAAGAGGTACCTCTTTTTCTTTTTCTTCGTCGTCTTCCACTAAAATCGATGCCTTTAATTCAACCGTCAATGCCCATTTTTGGATTTCTCATAATTTTTACATTTTTGGATGCAAAATTCGATTTTTATTGGTTTTGGATGATTTGGGATTTGATCATTTGGTGCAAATTTGAAGAATTTTAAGCTTTTTTTTTCTTTAAATTAATTATTTTGGGGTTTGTTTTTTCTCATTTCGAGTTACAATCCAATAAAATTATACGGGAGTTGTCCAAATGATGCAGAAGATTGGTTCTGTTCTCGGTAATGTCGTAATGATTCAGTTACTTTGAATTTTGTGTTATAATTTCCCTGCAAATGTGAATATTGAATTTATATATTAAAACTGCGAATTATGTGATCGTGTTGTTGAAAAAGTTGGGGGATTTAGTTAATGGGGACATTGAATTGACGGTTCGAGTTATGTTTGTTTTAATGTATACGTTCAGTATAACAATCGTGAATGAAGCAAAAGGATTTAACTTTGTTTTCAGGTTCTGAACTATAATGTTTGATTTTTTGATGTTTTTGAATATGAACTCTAATGATGATTCCCGATGAGTGATTGGTGGGATGCTAAGGGAAATGGTTGGAGAAAGGTTGATTATGATTGTAGAACTCGAAGGTTAAGGTTCTTAATGGTGCGGAGAAATGATTACATAGTCTTTAGCACAGCTTATGTTCTTGAGCTGGGAATCAACCATGGTGCTGATGTAGTGGTGTGAAGTGGTTTGTAGGATGTTTCTGTGTATATGCACCCATTCTTGGGAGATGGAGAAGATTTAAAAGTTTGGATGAGTATGGTATTTTGCTAGAATATAAGAATACAAGTATGTGCATGTCTATTATTATTCATAGTAGTCCCATGATGAACGTTTAGGAATCCTCTGGAGAAGTGGGGGCATGTAATTAGATATCAAATGATTGCAGTTGTTTTTATTTAGTGCTTTCCGATGCACTTCTTAAGACAACCTTGATGTTATTGTTTCCACAAAGTCATGCTTCAAATTAATCTTGAAGCAGAAAAATTGCTTCTTGTTGATTTAGGTTGAGATACCTAGCATTAGTCCACTTAGTGTGTAACTGAAGTTATTTATTTCTGTGTTACTTGTGTTCACTTGGGAGTAAATGCTCATCTCTTCTGATGGACAGTATAGAAATGTAAGTTTAATACTTTTTTGGTGGCTCCAAAGAACTGTAATGTTATGTAGTTATTTTGATGCCTTGATAGTGCACTTGGTGGTTATAGTCATATAAATAACAAAAAGAGACTGATTCTTTCAGTACTTTTCATGCAGATGGAAGATCACGCAGCTGTGTGTCTTGTGAAATGTGCAGAGCAATGTGATCGTGATATCAATCAAGTCCAGAACTCCGGAGAGGGAACCTTGTTGGTCTCCAGTACTGGATCACCGTTCACCCGCCCCGTTATTGAAATTGGATCATCATCTGAGCACACTGTTGAAGAAGGTTTACGCGGTGTTGACACAAGTAACCGGGGGAAGTGCTTGTCCAAAAGTAAAGAACTAATACCTCATCAGGTAAGTGCTGATTATAGTCACGACCAATCTTGTATGGATAATAGTACTACAGCTAGTGCTTCGTTTAGACAACAACAATCTTCAGAAACAGTCTCTTTGAATCGTTCGGTTAATGTGGATGCAGTCAATGGCATTGACAATCCAGCAGACAAGAATGTATCTCAGACCTGTCCCGAGGTTATGTGTCCAAGTAGTTCATCTCTACAAGGGATGCAGAATTCCCGTTCTCAGGAAGTGTCTGTTGAGAGTCATGTGGCTGACGTAAGGGGTGTGCAAAGTTCTAATGCTGATACTGATTCTGCTAATGTTTCTGAAATTCCATCATCTTTTGACTCACTTGGAAATGATTCTCTAAGGGAGGCAATACCTTCTGGTTTAGGTTTCCTTGTGTCCAATAGGGAACAAGGCCAGGAAGATGGAAGTGTACTTCATGTTGATGTTATGAGCATTTCTTCCAACTTTTTGAGGAGTAGCAATGGTGATGCAAGTAATCGTGAGGCTAGAAGGAATGGCAGACGACTGTTCTGGGATGCATTTTCAAGGCGCAGCTCCAGGAGATTCATTGATTCACCAACCATTCTTTTCTCTACTGATGATACTGAGGATATGGGATTTCATGACAGATGGCTACTTGGTTTGAGTGGTGATTTATTTGATGATGGGATTGGAGCTGATTCTGGTCACCGGGCCAGTAGAATTCCCTACTCGAATGAACGACGACGACATTCTAGATCTGAGGTGATAGTTTAGAACATTAACAAATATTATGATGTTGTTTCAGTTACGTGGTTGATCTGAAAATTGAGTTTTTCTTCTTCCCTCATTTGGGAGAGTTTTGGGGCTTAAGTCTTAACTGTATATGTCTGTTCATTTACATGGTTTACAGACAACTCATACATCAAAGGTACTTTTATACTTCCTTTGTGAAGTGTTATATATGTTTTACAGGCCAGAGGAAACCAGTAAATTGTAGCGGCTTTATTTATTGGGGTCCCATTAGTAATTTTTATTGATTTGCATCTGCATGACTCTCTGTAGGTCTGGGAAAGACTTCGTGTTGGCCTTGATGATAACGGCCAGCGTAATACCTCTTGTCCCACAGGAATCCACCCTCGTGGCATGTGCTCATGTGGCTCATTCTCGACGACCGAAGAGTCTAGTACTCGGGGAAGTATATCAAGAATTGTCATGCTCGCTGAAGCTCTATTTGAGGTAATTTTCTTGGGAACGTCTTAAGTTAGGTGGGTATTTATGCAATACGTTCTTGCCTTTTGTGTTTACCTTGGGATGCTGTGATTTATCCTTGAAGCACGAAGTTCTTTAATTTTTTCCTCTTTGGGGGCTAAACTTAATTAAATCAGGGATGAATTTAGTATATTCTTCTTTTTGAGGTCTCTTTGATGGTTTTGGCTGCATGTTTACCGCTCTAGGTTGAACGGCTATGCTTTGGTTTTCACAGTTTTTTTTTTATTTATGTTTGAGGGTCAAACTTAGTGGCAGATGTTAAACAACAGATTACTGTTTACCTTATGAATGCATTACTCAAACCTAATTTTGTTGTAATGTGCAATGTGCAGGTTTTGGATGAAATTCACCGCCAACCTGTGTCACTTTCACTATCGATGGTCTCGGCTCCTGCCCCAGCATCTGTTGTTGATGGTTTTCCTCTTAAAAGTCACACAAAGGTTGACAAATCAAAGTCCGGGGATGATGTTGAGCAGTAAGTTTTACTTAAGTCATGCCCATTTTCTTTTGGCCTTACATGATTCCATCAATAGGGAGCATGATGCATTTGTTTGATCATGGTGAGTTAATAATTGATAGGTGTTACATATGCCTCGCTGAGTATGAGGAAGGAGACAACATTCGAGTTCTTCCCTGCCATCACGAGTATCACATGTCCTGCGTTGACAAGTGGCTCAAAGAGATACACGGGTATTGTCATTGCCATCCTGTTTTTTCCCCTTCATGATTGTCCTTCATTCCCCCATGATTTTTTTTTCCACTGAGAATCACTCCTACGTACAGGGTTTGCCCACTTTGCCGAGGAGATGTTCGTGAGGGTTTCACCGACTGTTCTGTCTCTAACTCAGAGATATCTTCTCTTTGATTTAATTGTACATACTACACGGTAATGTAAATGGTTAAAGATGGTTCTTTGCATCTGCCATGACATGTATTTTGTCCCCCAATACTAACTTGTATCTGAATTTTTCCGAAATCCATGATATTGTAGCGTCTTCCACTCTCGATGCGGAATTGTAGTACTTATATAGTGATTGAGAAAATGAGATATTTATGCATCAATGTGCATGTATACCATCTTTGATGTTTATATGCAGAGAACACATTTGCATTTTTCATCTCCACTAAGAGGCTTCCAAATAGCAAACCCTAGGAATTTCGTTTTTGCAGTTTTTTCCATTATTACCCTTGGTGCTTCTGTTACTTGATGGTGATGTGTTTCCTATCTTTTTCAAAAAAGTGGGTTTCTTGCTGGAATTATTGGTAACGTGCCTTTCCTTTATTGCTAAAAAGCTTGTAGATTCCTCTGCTTTTACTTGAACGTGTAAAAGAAGTCTTTGCCAGTTTTGTCCTTATGGTAACGAGAAATTATATTTTGACCTGAGTCGCTTCTTTCTCTAATTGATCAATAGAAAGTCCACTCAGGGTTCATGTATTTGCAAAAAATTCTTTTTGCTCTCGAATTTGCAGCTTTGAATTTGATTTTCGATCCATGTTGCCAATTTGCTTGCATCACAAGCAACCCTTACTCCTGATGATCATGTTATGTTTAAATTGATTTGTTTCTTGTGGTACACGCATCTTTGATTTTTGCATGAAGGTCCTTTGAGCAATGAGGAAGAACACAGTCTCAACAAAGCGGCTTTCAAATAATGAGTGAGAAGAGCTAAGAAAATAAAAATCAAGGAGCGAATCGAATTCCGGAAACATTTAAGGAGATAATACATTGCCTGCATTTACAAATCAAACATAAAGTTTGAATGCTTGGGAGAGCAGAGTTCTTCTCTCAAAGTTCTTACAACAGATAAGAAAAATGTATCGCGTCAGTAGCCATGCCCCGGAATCCAAAAGGGATTCTGATTCTGATTCTGGTCTTGTGTATAAGCTGCCGGTTTCGATCTCAGCTTCCTAGGGGTGGTGTGAAGGTGATCATCACAGAATGGATTGGTTTCATGGAACTTTGAGGTGTAATTGTGGTTGTTGTCACACGGCGGAGCAAAGAGATTCGGGTGACAATTCTCCTCGTCATCTTGGAATGTAACCCATCGCGCTGAGTGGATACCGTGCTTCTCTCTTGCTGCATTTCTCAAGCTCTCCATCTCCCCAACATGCTCCTTGAATTCTTTCTTCACCACGTCCAGAACAACGTCTCCATACCGATCACACCACGACCTGAAAACGAAACAAAAATCAATGATGAATAAAAAGGAAAGTCAAAGGAGGTGATGGTTTTAGTTAGTGAAGATTTTGCTCACTTAGGAAAGAACTTCTTCAGGTCAGCCTTGTCCACCGGAAGCCTTGTTGAAATCGCTTCAATTTGTTCATTCCTGAGTAAATCACAAGAACCAAACTCATATATTTTCAATACAAACGGATTGCTTTTCAATGCCAGTGCGAATATTAAGAAAGTATCATCGAAAAGGCTTACGTGAATCGAAGATTTGGATTTGAAGCGCAAAGCTCTGTCTGAATTCTTGACAGCTCCTTCTTTATCTTCTCCCCCACTACCTTAAGATCATAAAATACAAAACCCAAGATTCAGTTTTGGATCAAGCTTCGAATATTCGCCGAAGATCACGAAATGAAATTGAACAATTACGAACCTTGTCAATGAAGAAATCAGAAGTAGAACCATCCGAGAGCAGCTTCCTTTTTATGAGCTTGGTGTCTGGCCCTTCACCCATGGGGCTTGGGACAAGCTTCAGGTGGACCTCACTATCCGATCTTTCGTTTAGTGGCAACGGAGTTGTCTCGTTCTCCTCTGAGTCACTCCTCTTCCACTTCTTGAATCCATCAAAACCCCATTGCTTTTTCGCAGATTTCGAAGGTGTTTGTTCATTTTCATGGCCATGATCCCCCTGTCCCTCTCTCTGTTCTCTCTGAAACAAATTCCTAAACGGCTTCCTCCTCGTTCGATCTGCGCTCCCACTCTCTTTCATCGGAACCTGTGGCAAGCTTTCTGGCATGAGTATCGACGATTGACTTCCTGCTTCATGCTTAGAAGAGCTGGCAGAAGAGAATTTCGACGAGTCGGGCAAATCAAATATGCTCTTTTCTCCCCTGTTTTTCCCCTGTTTGTAAGGTGATACAAATCCCAACACCGAAGCTGCCCCTTTGATTTGCTTCACTGCCGAGCTGTGCTTCAATTTGTTCTTCGAATTTGAACCCCCTTTGTCTTTCGTTAGCAAGCATTTCTCATCCTTCAAGTCAATTTCAGACCACTGCTCTTGATCTGCATTCTCTTTCAGGTCCTTCGCTGGCAGCGACCCTGAAGCGATTACATCTTTAGCCTCGACCTCAGCTCCCTGAGCTGCTAATCGCTGCAGCAACGGCCTCTTCGACGAATGGTATTCGTCTTCTGATATGCATTTCGCATACAAGAGCTCCTAAACATTGTTTGGCTACTCAGAAAACCAAGAAAGAAAATCCAATCGAAATTAAAAAAAAAGAAAAGGATTTGATATTGCAGACTGGTTTTTTACCTGCAAGAATAGCAACTTGTCTCTCAGAATAACCGGCTGTTCGTGCTCCGCCACTGGAGAGGCGAGGAGGGTTTCGAGCAAATGCAATCGGAAAGCGGAGACCTCGGTCTCAGCCAAGATTCCTTCTTTGTGCAGACCCATCAAGTTCATCATCTGGTGGAAAGAGTCCTGCTGCCACTTGAGGTTATCCGACTGCAGCTTCGAAAGCTTCTGCTCCGCCGCGGGCAACCGCCGCTTCTTGAAGCCGAAGGGAAGAATGGACTTGCACAGGGAAGTCATCGAGTCGTGAAGAGTGGAGTAGTATGTGGGCGCGTACGAATACACCATTTTTGAAATTCTGGGTTCTTGATTCGAATTGCCAAATGGGTTTAACAGAGATCGAATTTGGGAAGTTGCCAGAGTTTGGATGTGGATTTGAATTTTGGTTTTTGTTTGCGAGTGTTGTTTGAAAATTGAAAAATATTTCCGGGAATTTTGGTTCAGATTTTGAATTTTGGGAGACGGGAAAACGGTCACTAGGAAACTAGCCGTTGCGGGAGGGTCTGAAAACGCAAAATACTAAAATCACATGGTGCGAAAAAAAAAAACGTCGTCGTTTGTTGCGTTTCCTTTCAATTTATTTTTCTTTCAACATTTTTGCGTTTTTGCATTATTGCAACCGTCATATGTTACTAGAGCTCAATTTTTTTTTTTTATAGGATGTCAATAAAGCAATAAGGTCAGTAATGCTTTATACGCATAATGCTAGGCAGTCATGTATCAACACGTGAAAAAAAAAAAAGAGCACAACAAAGATGAGAATGTTTTGTTGAATGTGTAGACACACGAGAAATGATATGATTAAGGACAAAAATATTCGAGGTAAAGTAGGAGTTGTCACAATTGAAAATAAGATTAGAGAAAATCGGTTAACGTGGTTTGGATATGTGAAACAAAAACCTACAGATGCTTCAGATAAAAAATGCAATTATGAGATACATGCTCAAGGCAAAAAGGTAGAGGAAGACCTAGAAAAACTTGAAAAGAGAATTTTTTTTTTAAATGGAGCATTTGGAGCTAACGGAAAATTTGATGCAAAATTGAGAACAATGACGGTTTAAAATTGATACGACCGACTCGACTTAATAGGATAAAAACTTCTTGTTGGTAGATGATTTGTGCAACTCCTTTTATTCCTAAATTTTTTAAAATCAAGCATTCAAATTCTAAAATTGTTAAAAAATAATTTTTGAACTTTGAAATGTTGTGATAAGGTGAAAATATGAGCCAGGATTTCATATCATCGTCTCAGACTTTCACCTTATATCTTAACTCGTATTTCGCCTCAGTTTTTTATTACGATATGGTCTTGATTTTGACATAATCCAAAATGTATCAGTATCTAAAAAAAAATTCTAAGAACGATTGATTTTCTAACAAGGTGAAACAAAGAAATCGACATGCCATGTCTCATTCTATTCGTGCTATGTCTTTGTCACAAATCACTTACGAAAACTTTGAAACGTTATGGACTCTTGCGTCACTTCGATCAAAAGAAAGAATAAAACGAATAATTAATCAAATCTCATCTTAAATCCTTGCCTAATCATCTCTCCATCTCTATAATCAAGACAAAGATTAATTAGCTAATTTTGGGGCCATTCTTTAGTGACCTTCAGCTAGCCAGTAGTGACTCCAAAACAAGGATTAGGGTGGGAGGAAAAGAAGATTTTACCAAATTAGGATTGAATCCTAAGAGAAAATGACGTTCCACCTCCAACCTAAATGTCTTTTATTAATATTTTTTTCGATCGTATTAGAGATAATTGAATCTTTTACGTGGTCTAATCTTAACTCACTTTTTAATTTTTAAGCCAAACCTGTTCAATGGAAATGACTTGCCGTTAGATTTTGCCCACCCAACAACTGAGCAAGACAGGATGGCGCAGGGGGTGCGAATCCCCTTTTTACCCAAACCCAATTGTCATTGTTTGCTCTGATCCTTCATTTCACACAAATTCACTCGCTTCACTCAATTTTCAACTTCATCCCTCAATCTCAAGGCTCAAGCACCACCACCGCTAAGACTCACCCACTAACAAGAGAACTTAAGCAAGAACACCGCACCAAACTTTTATACCTTACTTATTCAATGAATAATTCATGAATCCGCTACTTCCCATCTTCCTTGCCACTTGAGTCAACCGCACAAATTTAATGATATTTTATTTGCAATATCAAATTGTAATAATCTCACCATGATTTCCCTTAATTGGAATCCAAGATTGGTAATAACATTTGATTAGTACAACCACAAATGATTTGCACTAAACAAGAAAAAGGTCGACCAAGACACCAAACTGTCCAATAATTAACCAGTTATTGTCCCACCAGTCACATGAGTGGAGCCTTTTCTCTCATTTGATATTCAATTTCAAGGTGGGGAGAAAGAATGGATGGATAGTGATATGCAGTGTAATTAGATTCATTCACGAAAGTGATTTTGTCAAACCGAAAATAGTCCCTGACAAGGCCGGTCCAAAGATTTTTAAGGCCTAGGACGACGCCAAAAAATATGTCATCATTTCATATAAAAAAAATATTTGTTTTTAAACATAAGACATCGATAAAATTGTATTTAGAAAAACACTTCAAACTCAGTAATTTAGAAATACGAAAAAACTAATTTATTTTGTATCGAGAGAAGGAAACAAAAAAACTTTAGGCTTACAAGTAGATAGATTATGAGTTTTGACTTCCATATGAACTTTTAAAGTGTTTTTGTATAAATTGTAAGATGTTTTTTCTTATTTACTAACCTCATCAATATAAGAATAAAAAAATAATGATACTTTCAAGTCTTTAAAGATATGTATAAGTAATGAATGAGCTCCAAATTAAACATTTTGATGACACGTCATATGATTTGCAAATTTAGTCTATGTATTACCCTTTGTTGAAAATTAGACTTGAATTGGAATTAATGTTTAAAAATAGCAACCCACATAGTTACTAGCTAGTAATTAAAAATAAATTAACAATCAAACAAAAATTCGTAAAAATTGAAAAAAATAAATAAATATACACATAGCATTTCGAACTTAGGACCTCTCGTTAATTTTAAATACAAAAATCATTGATTCTAATTAAACTTTTGATCATTTAACCAAATTTTATAAATTTATACTGTTATGAAAAGAAATTTGTAAATAATTAGAATTTAAATAAGCACACATAGTACCCAAGACCTCTTCATTAATTTCAAACAGCAAAATCACCGGTTCTAATTAAATTTCTTTGTCATTAAACCAAATTTTATAAATTTATACTCTTATGAAAACGTATATAAATATGCCACACTAATAATTTTGGTGCCCCTAATTTTTTTGGGCCTCGGACGATCGCCCTGCCCGCACTGGGCTTGGGCCGGCCCTGGTCCCTGAGATTGATATAACTCTTCATTTTGGTTCATAAGATTTAAAATCGATAAAAGTGATCCCTGAGTTTGTCCACCATCAATCATTTTAGTCATTCCGTGAAAAATCTCTGTTAAATAAGGACCAAAATGACAAAAATAACCTCAATTTTTGTCAAATCATTTTGGCCATTGTTTATTAATGGAGGGTATTTTTGTCATTTTGGTCTTTATTTAACAAAGATTTTTAAGAAATGACCAAAATGATTGACGTTGGATAAACTTATGGACAATTTCTATCAATTTCAAATCTCTAAAACCAATATGAGGAGTTATAACAATTTCAAAAACTATTTTAGCTAAAATCCCTTTTGTCAATAAAAGCACTTTTATGTATTTTGAATATTCCACCCCTATTGGACATCACTTGTTGGTTAATAATTGGGAGATCATTGAAGTTATAACAGTGCTCAACTCTTTACAATAAGTAAATAGTTATTAATTCTGTGTTTTTCCAAAATACTAAAGTAACTTACAAAAATGATAATCGAAAACTTCAATTATAAGAGTCAAACTACGATTTATTTGCAATGAAAACAAATGCTACTTACATGTAACGAGTCAAAGTATTTTTCCAAAATACTTGTGGAAGTGATCAATGTGTGGGATTATGATCTCCCATCAATATGCATAAACTATTTACTCATACTTGGCAACTATTCACTTCAACAAAAACATATGGTAGCTAAACAATTAGCACACAAGGTCAAATCCTTCAAACCAACTCTACAACTGCAACTGCAAGCTCAATCTATATTTTACAATTTTAATTTACAAAATTACCAATACAATTACTAGGAGAAATCTCCATTCTGCAACACGGGCAATGAGCATTGCTGTGAAGCCATGGAACCATGCAACCAGAGTGGAACCTATGGGCACAGGGCAGGTGCACCAGGGTCTTACCTGGACTGAACCTTTCCAGGCAGACTGCACACTCATCCTGGTCTGATGACTTCCAGGACAACTTTGACCAGCTGAACTTCTTTGATCCACTTGTGCTACTGCTACTCTTTTTAGCTCCATACACTTCTTTCTGCAACTCTCCGAGCACCACAGATGATCTTCCTCCTCCATCCACACTTTTCAGTCCTTTGTTGTTACTATTATTGTGCCTAAATTCATCATAAGTATATCAAAATACATAATTTAAAACATATTGGAAATCGGGGGACAAAAATAAATAGGGAAGTGCAGAAGACTAAAAAGAGTGAGAAAATCTATTCCCCTCACGTATATAGCAGGCTAGCAGCAAGAATCATTATTGGTAAGAAATTCTATTGTGCAGGAAAGAAACAGTCGTTTCGTCGATGTTGTCAATAAGCATCAATAACATGGATCTGGAGGCATATTGATATGCAATCGACAGTTTGTTTCATAGACGGACTACCATATTGGTAAATTAATTATTTATACCTTTTAAGTTGTGATTTTCTTTGTGTTCTCAGTCTTTCATCTAATCTCCCCTTTGCTTCTCTGGCTTCCACTCCCAGCTTCTCATCCATGTATGCTTGGTTCAGTATGCTTCGTTGCTATTTGTTCAAAAGTTAATATTGAGATTAATGATTCAAACATGCAAAATGAAACACTGATCATGAAAAATCATCCAAGCAACAAGAGAAAAATATATTTGCTTGTAATTCAATTGGTAGGATAGCGATTTTCACCCTCTTGTTTTTCTCGATTGATTCTTCTTTGATTTATTCGTTTTAAAAATTAAAAAAAATATATTAGAGGGGTAAGAGAAAAGAAGAGTGCGAAAAACATTCGTATTGTGTTATGTGGGAGATTGAGAGAAAGAAAGAATTACCAGCGGAGAAGTGGAGGTGTGGTGAGATTCATGGTTGCTAGCATACAAACAGAAACAAGAGCGCCTGGTGCTGCCATGGATGCCGCCGACACACGGTGGCTCTCCTCTCTGACGGACTCGTCTCCTCCGAGCGCTTTCCACACCAGGGAGCATTCCAGCCATTAATTTCAACCTCGAAATTACGACGACACAAAACCCAACAAAGAAAACAAGTGTTGTTTTAGAGACGGTTCAACATCCTACTACTGGTAAAATAAATTGTGTTTAGAGCAGTCAGGTTTTCGATGCGAGACAGAGACAAAAGAAAAGGTGAGAGAAATGAGGTGGAAGGGGTGAGGAAGTTTCATGGCAACTTAACGTAAGGCTTTCAGCCTTCCACCAAGTCCAAGCAGAAGAAAAGTAAAAGATGAGGGGGCATAACACAATAAAGAAAAGGTGAGAGAAACGAGATGGAAAGGGTGAGGAAGTTTCAGTGCAACTTAACCGAAAAGCTTCCACCAAGTCCAAGCGGTGTGTGTCGAATGAGACAGTGGTGCTGAGTGTCGCTATGAACAGAAAACCTGGCACTGATCATAGGTACAAGGGTGAGCCACATGATCAACCAAATCTCTTCTTGTAATGTTTCTTTGGGCTTTAAAGTAATTTTCTCTTCTTTTTTACTTTTACCAAATGATATGGTTAAGCTTTACAATGGATTATCATTAATGTGGTTCAAATTCGTCTTTGGCGAAAATCGAATTTCAAACTTCTTACTTACAAATGAAGAAAAATATCACTACACCGTAATACTAAATGACGAGGGAATGGTTTTGGGTGTGTACTTCATTTCTTTATAGTAATTAAATGACTTTTCTTGGCTGCACCAAGTGAATGGTTCTGGTTGTGTACTTTCATTTCTTTTGTTTTTTTTGGTGTTTAGGTAAGAAGGCAGTGATTTTCCATTTTCTTTTATGCACTCTTTCAACGAATCAAGTAGAATTAAAAGAAAAAAAAAATTAGAGGAGAAAATGAGAAATTTGACCAATTAGATGGTCAGACAATCTCACAAGTAAAAGAAATGTATTATATGGAGGCCTGGCCGGACAAGGTGATACAACCTTTGTATAACATATAAATACATACAAGTTAAGTCACGTATCAAGATCCTAAATTTTAAACACAAAAAACAAAAGAAATGAAGATAGTGTTTAGGGTACTGTATGTTTATTTTTAGTTTTACAGATTTACAAACTGCCCAGCCATGAAGATACTCTTAGTTGAAAAGCCATTTTTTTTCTTTTGCTTTGCAAACTTCCAATAATAATTAACAAAACACAAAAACAAAAATATAAAAAGAATTAGACCAACAACAAAAACAAAACATGTATATTGAGTTTATATATATCTATTCAATAATTTTACCTTCCTTCTGTAAAAAAATGTATTTTGCCTTCCTCAATCTCTCATTTTTTTGAGGTAATCAGGATTATTTTTTTCTCTCTTTTCCATAATTGATGATCCAAATATTGGATGTTTTAAATATTTATTATTGTGATGTTGATTTTCGAGAGAACATAATAGGACCAATCGACTATTGAGTTTATTCTATTCGTCAATTATGTTCTACTGTTCATCACTCGGTTCAAGTCTTTAGCTTATTGTTGATTGTTAAGTATCTAAGGCATAATATAATAATAAGTCAGTTATCATTTACCACAAAAAACCTAAAAGTACGTACCCAAGATTGAAGTGCCTACAAAAATCAAGGCTCTTTTCAGTGGCTCATCTCCGGTTCCTAAATCTCAGAACCGACAATTATATTATCGGGTCTTGCATGAGTTCAAACCCCAATGCACACGGTCTCATTCATTGTGATAGTGATCTGACTTGTTGGTTGGTTGATCAAACTGCCCTATTAAAGTTTTTCTCTCTGAAAAAAGTTTGTTCATTACTTACGTATGACGTCTTGCCGTAAAATTTAAAAGTCAGTTTGATTGTATGTATGAATGACCCTTTATCCCACATTTGAAACGATCCTTTAGAAATGAATCTTATCAAAATAAAAAACAAGACATCACGCGTAGAGAATCACTAAGGCGAGGACGAGGAGTGATAATATTCTCTCAATGAACAAAGCATACGTATCAACCCCAACCCCACTTCCACAATATTGTACTACACAAAGGATATGGATAAAGATTCTCATCATCTGAAACTGCTAAGTGGGAAGAGCATAACAAGGACTAAGGATCTTACAAGCTTATATTAAAATTGGATTTGGGCCTTGTAATATTCTTTTATCCAATAATGCGATATTTTAAACTACTCTAATTTATAATAAGAAAAATTCGAATTGAGGCAAAGGATAAGCAACACAGTTCTAATCAACTTATAACTCACATTGCCACCAAAATCTCATCTCCCAATCATGGAGTAATGGTTTTCTTAATTGGGCAACAAGATATGTTCAAGCCCACATTCCAATTTTGCATTCGAGCCCAGCTCTATTTCATGCAAATGGACCCCAACATTAGCCTTCAAATTTTGGGCCCATCCTAGTTTTCAGATATATATCAAAAGAAAAAATGAACTTTAACGAAAATCTTGCAGTACTGTTTATTTTAACGAAAAATTATATTTTTACACTAAAAAGTCAATACTGGTACTATTTACTTTACCATTTATTTTTTCCTTATATTTAAAACTCAAATTTCAAACTATTTTCATTAGTTTTCCTAAGAAAAAAATGAAAAAAAAAAAAAAAAACTGAAAAAAGCGATAACCTCTGAATAAAGTCAAAAGACCAGAAACCCCAAGAGCATCCCATGAAATCCGGACCTCAATGAGTTGGTTTCACTCTCACGTCCCCCCATCCCGGATTCCCATCTTTCAAAACCCCGAACCCTACGTGTCCTCATCCGTCTTTTCACCTCACCCACGGGGCCTCCTCCTCCTCCTCCTCCCAAATAAAAACACAAATACCACCGCCACCACCCCAACCTCTCCACACACAAATCAAAATAATGGTGGACAACCACGAACCCTGCTCCCCAAACTCTCTCAAACAAAAGCTCCGCTCCTCCCTCTGCATCATCCCATGCTTCCCTACTCCCAAAAATTACCACCACGGCGCCCTCACTGCGCCTCCCACTCCGAACGGGGCTGATAATGTCAACCTCGTGCGGACCTCTTTATTCTCCCCTAATTCCCAGTCCTCGCGATCCAGCCATCACCACCACCATCACCATCACCACAACAACAGTCACTACGAGTTTGCGGAATTGAAAGACAAGTGCAAGAATTTGATTGGGCGCTTGCATGGACGTGGCAGCGGCCAGGGCCACGTGGGACGGAAGCATCATTCATCCTCTGCTGATTTTAAATATGACGCACTTAGCTACGCCCTCAACTTTGATCACGAGGAGACCGACCTCGAGGATTACCCACTCCGGAGCTTCTCCTCGACATTGCCGCATTCGCCCCCTCAATCCTCGCAGGAGTCCTCCTCCGTGGCTTCTCCACCTGCGTCCAAGGAGATAGCTGCCTATAGCTAGCTTATGATCTAAAGGCAGGCCTCAGGTTAATTAATCCGGTCTTGATAATTAATTACTTAATAGGGTTTTCATGAAATGTGATTAAATTATTCATGTGTAATACACATGAACGCAGATATGGTTTGTATACATTCATGGGGTGCGTATATATATTGGCACGGTTACCGTAATATGTTGCGATGGTTTCTTCCCTTTAATTTAGTTTTCTCCAGACATTTTTCTTTTGCGAATGACCAGTACTGAATTAGGTTCTAGTTTATATTTTGGCTGGGAAATTTGGGAATAAATACTGGCTGTCAAGTATATATATTTTGGGATTAGCTTAATTATCATCATTGGATCATCACGAATTTCATGTCGTAATTAAATTTAATAGAATCTGAATGAATTTGCATGATTATTTTCACCCATCAATTAGATTTGCAGAATTTCCCAGCATGTATAATTAACTACAATTGCAATTTGCATGTACCTTTTTTTCTGCATTAATGCATGCATGCACGCGTACGTATTCATGCCCAGTTTTGAATCGGTAAATAGTGAATGAAGAAGACAATGCCCATGCTACGGGAACGAAGTTTAAACTTTTAGGTACCATGAACGGAGTTAGAAATTTTTTTTATTTTTTATTTTAATTTTTTAAGCAAGGGCAACCTTAATCTAGTTATATATACTTAAGAAAAAATTTCATCATAATAGAATATCTTCTATAATTTCACCACCTTTTTTTCTTCTAAAACTTCATTAGGCCACAACTTGTAGGAATTTTTTCACAATGACGAACTATTTGAGAATAAATTGCAAGTAGTAAAATTATGATAAATTCAAGTTATATATGTCTTTTATTTATATTCATTAAGGGGAGCATGAATAACATGACCAATATGTTCTTTGCACCTTCTATAATATCATAATTTTCTTCCCTCATAATACTAGTGGGCAACTGCTTCTAGTGAACTTAGCTGTCTCCGTCCTGTTATGTATACTTAACAAGAATGAGAGAAAGAAGGAACTTAATAAAAGGTAAGGATAGAAAATTGAATCAACAACCCTCCTGACTAGTTGATTTGATTTTTGATTTTCAGGTACTTGATTATAAATTTCAAAGAAAAACCTAACACTTTCGAATTTCATATGTGAAATCCCGTCCCCGGATTTCACTGTTTAAAATTACTTATGTCGTATTTAGTATTTTTATTTGTAGTTTCGACATGTTTGTATTTGCGGTGTTCTTTTTTTTTTATAAGTAAAATGACGAAAACGCTCTTAATGAACTAAACGAGAATCTTCGTGGACGTATTTGATCCTTTCCAGATTTCTTTACATATTTAGATAGTATGTGTCGATATGAACACTTGGGCGCAAACGGATTGTAATTTGGAGTTATAACGAATGAGTTATAGACGAACAAGGACAAAGGCAAAATGGTCCTTTAATTATTAATCTGGAAGGCTCCAGATTTGTTGGAGGGAAAATGAGGGAGAGTGCCCAATCAGAAATGAGGGAAGAAATGAAGGAAAGGGGGAAGAGAGAAGGAGGGGAACCCGGACACCCCCTTCGACCCTTTTTCCTTATGACCTGACCCAACGGAAACTATGGGATCTGATGCTTTCTACGGCCAAATTTCGGCGAATCACGCCGAGACACTACTTGGAAAATATTCCACGACCTTCCCTCTACCAATTTCACCCCAAAATTGTTGAAAATTGGCTTGATTTTGGTGAAATCGCACCGGTGGGTGCGAGGGTTCTTTGTCTTCAATCCACCATTTCTGAAACGATTTCCTTCAATCACCACCACCTATAGCATCCTCTTGAACCCAGAAACAAAGGTCAAACAATTTTGGAGGCGGCATAGCTTCATATTTGACGAATCAATAACACCCAATTCAAGGGTTTCCGAAGGTTCGAGGGCGATTTGAGGTGTTTCCTGGCCGAATTGGATTTTGG